ACTGATCTTGCTTAATTTTTTTTAATGTTGTAGACTCTTGTGTAACAGATGTGGATGACTTTGCACAAAGTGAAAGGACAAAAATATCATCTTCAGCAGTGACTGGATTATATGATGTCTTTGTCCCCAGTTAAAGATGTTTAATTGTGTGGTCACTGATTTGCCGTTTGCAAGGTCGGCATGCATTATCCTGCATGCTGGCCTTATTAACATTGAGGAGGAGTCTTCTTCAACATAACAACAGGCAACCTAGACTGACTTTAAAAAAAAAATGAAGTCATACCATCTACCAGAGTAATGACAAAATAAAAAGTTCTAGTATCCTCACCCCACTGACTTCAATAAACATATTCATCAAGTTGTCATAGGGGTTTTTTTTGCTTTGTTTTTCTGCTATTATTACTTTTCAATTTTAGCATAGATATGCTTAAAGTGGTACTTTCACTGAAAAAGCTTTTTTTTTCTTTGTTGAGACTTTTAAAATATCTTTAAAAATACACAGTTATGATTTTAAAAAAAGATTACCATGTAATTCAAATATAGATGATTCTGTTTTCTTATATTTTATGATTAAGTCAATACTTTAGTTAAAATTATTATCATGATGCCAGGTGTTTGGGGGATATTATTTAAAAAATTGATAAAAGAAACCCTTGATAGCCCCACTATGAATTTTACACACATACAAGGCAAGTTATGGCACAGCATTTCACAGAAAAAAGAAGTTTTATCTGAAGAAAAGGCACAAATTTATATGAGAATGTCAGCTACAAAGTGACACAAAATTGTAGTTGATGAATAAAGATAGAAATAATTAAATGCAGTAGGTAAATTACAACCTAAGGACTTAGTAGGTCTAAACATGGCTAATTTTTTTTGTCTTTAGACCTATTGGAGAAGTTGAAATATTAAATTTTAAGCATTAAAGAAAAATCTCTAGGATTCTCATTTTATCTGTTCTATTCTCTACCTCCTAGAAACAAGGAGGAAAATGTAATTATGCATGGATCCTCTGAATTAATATGAGAAATTAGATGATTTATCGTTAGAATTGAGGAAGAGAGAAGAAATTCAATCTTGAACAGTTGCCACTTACTTATATTTAACCTGCATGGAAATTTGACTGGCTTAATTACTATCTTGAATCATTGCTTTAAATGGAAATTATAAGCCAAGATCCTCTCTTGTCTTGTCTTAACAAATTTATTATCAGAAGAAACATTGATTCTTGGAAATTTACCATGTTTATCATGGACCTTTATTTGGATTTTTTTAATGAAGATTTTAACTTTCAAAACATAATGTGCACGGAATATATTTTTAAAATTTTTATTGTGAACCAAACCAGCACCAAATAACTTGAGCCCATATACAAAGTAGAACAAAAAAAGAAGATTGCATATGAAGTTATAAATCCATATTATAAAGAGTTTGCTTATCTCTTTAAGTCTTTAAATAAGTTTTCATAGCTTGAAACTGCACTAAGATTTTAGGGGACAACCCTGTATGATTTTATCACCATGTTATTTTCTTTATTTCTTTTTTTTTAAATGTGAGGCAATTGGGGTTAAGTCGCTTGCCTGGAGTCATACAGTGACTGAGTGTTATGTGTCTGAGGCTGGGTTTGAACTCAGATCCTCCTGATTCCCAGGCCAGTGCTCCATCCACTTGGCAACCTAGCTACCCCCATGTTATTTTCAAAGCTGTCCTACTTGTCTGTGTTCCTTGCTGTATGTTTTTGTTCTTTTTCTTCTGTGTATTTTTTAATGCTTCAATGATCCTCTTGTCTTTTTCTGTTCTTTTTTTCTTTTTAAATTTTTATTTTATTTTTGGAATAAAACAAACATTTCCATAACTTTGTATAATAAAAATATAATAAAACAGCATATCTATAATGTACAACTTACTACTCTTTTTAACTGTATGATAAAGTTATCATGTACATTTCTTTATTTTCCTTTTTTCCCTTCCCCCTACCCTAGAGATGGTTACCATTAGACACAAATATGTGCATATATGTATAATACATATGTCAAATCATTCTATACATGCTTCTATTTATCGGTTTTTTCTCAATCTTTATTTCCTTTCCTTAAATCCTACCCCCAAAATAGAAGAAAATTAAACTACTTTGTATCATATATTCATAGTCAAGCAAAACAGATCTCCAGTTGGTCTTGTCTAAGTGTATATGACTCATTTTTCACTTTCAATTCATCACCTCTCTGTTAAGAAGTATGTAGTGTATTTCACCACCAATCCTTTGAAATCATGATTGATCATTCCATTAATCAGAGTTCTTAAGTCTTTCAGAATTGTTTTCCATTACAATGTTAGTATATAAATTGGTCTCTGTATTTTTCTCATTTCACTCTCCATTATACCACACAAGTCTTCCCAGGTTTTCCTGATATCTTCCTTTTCTTCATTTCTTATGGCTCAGTAATATTCCATTACATTCACTTACCTTAATTTATTCAACCATACCCAATTGATGGGTAACCACTTCTTAGTTTCCACATCTTTACCATTACAAAAGGAGGTGTTATAAATACATTTGTGTGTGTGTGTGTGTGTGTATCCTTTTATCTCTCTTTGGAATCTTTGAGTTATAGGCCTAGCAGTGGCATTGCTGAATCTAAGAATATGAAGAATTTAGTGACTTTTGGGGTATAGTTCCAACCTCCTTTTCAAAATAACTAGACCAATTCTAAACTGCATCTATAGTGTATTAATTTGCACTGTTTCCCTCAGTTCTTCCATTAATTATCATGTTCCTTTTTGTGTGTGATTTTTGCCAATTTAATGGGTATGAAGTGAAACCTTGGAAATTTTTAAATATGCATTTCTCTAATTTAATTACTAATGATTTGGAGCACTTTTCATGTGGCTATTAATGGTTTGGATTTCTCTTCAGAAGTGCCTGTTCATATCCTTTCACCATTTATCTATTGGGTAATAGCTTTTGTTCTTATATTTGAATCAGTTCCTCATTTATCTTGGATATTGTACATTTATCAACAATGTATATTTTAATGAAGAGAATTGACAATAGAAATCTCAATAATGCACATTAAAATAAAGTAAAAAAATAAAATTTTTTAAACTAAAAATCCCAATGAGAACCATTAGAATTTACTTTCAGTAAGTCTGTCACAAGAAGTAGTGTTTATCAACAGAATTCAAATTCAGAAGTGTTTCTTTAAAGGTTTTTTCAGAAGCTCCAAGCTCTACTTTATTTCTCTAACAGAAGACAGCTGAGTATTATCAGAGAAATGAGTCACATCATACTTGTTCAGAATTTCAAATGATCCCAGATTTCATCTGTGCTAGTTGTCTCTCCAGTTGCACAAATGGAAACCGTCTGTGGCTTGGTAGAACATAGTACAGATTCTCTGGCCAAAATATCCATCAATAATGTTCCCCTTCTGGTGATAACTCTCTTCTAACTTGGACTAGTCTTGAGATGACAAACATCACCGGGCCTATCCCTACTTGAAGACCCATCAAATTGGTAAGGCCTGCTAGAATTTATACTTTTACTTGCAAACAGCAGAGGTGTCAAACTCATAGCCTGCAAAACTCTTGAGTGAGTGGCCCAAAGGGATCTGTTTCTGTTTACGTTTGATGTCATTGGCACAGACTTTAAGAACTCAAAGTCATTTCAGTATTATGAAGAACACTGGAGTAGGACTCAGGTACAAGAGAAGACATTGAACTAACTATACATCACGTAATAAACATTTTAAGTGCTTCTGATGAGCCCCATGTTTTGCTAGCCTCTGGGGTTACACAGATATGAAAAAAGCACAAAAAAATTATTCTCAAGGAGATTACATTCTAAGAGGTATCTTCTGAATATGGAGTCTCCTTCTCTGGGGAGGTATGGCACCAGGCATTCCAGTTTACTGAACACCAAGCCAGTAAATTAAATAAAAAAGCTACTGAATCAGTTTTTTACACATACACACACACACACACACACTCACTCACGCACTCACACACATATGCACTCACATACACACACCTTTTTAATTCTTTTTGCATTTTCTAAACTGATTTTTGATGGGACATTCAGATTTTTAACAATCATCTTGAGAATGATAATCATAGTCACAGACTCTTGCACCAACCCATGACTCATTATCACCATCCTATGTTCTAGTTCTTTACCATAAATGTTGTTATTAGTTAAACATGTTTCCTTTAGCACTGAGAGGAAGCCATTACGTGAGAGAATATGAAAGATGCTTTAAAGAGAGTAAGATTTAAATTTTGTAAATTACTGCATTTTTCTGGCATCTGGACTATTTTTAGACCAATGGAGACTTTTCTCAAAGTTAGTTTCTTTTAATAAATTTTTTCCAGTGTCAAACTTAACATGACTGCATTCATTCAACCACAAATGGTCTCTTTTGGGCATCAGCTTTAACACTGTAATAGGATGTGTCTGAATTTTAACAAGGAGGCAAACCCTATTTTACTTTTATAATATTAGTACATTTTTTTATGAAACCACATGAATTTCTGAACACTGTCTACTCAAAGGGAAAAAAAGTTTTATCAGTTTAGAGATACCTCAGTAAAAGTCTATGGAAATGTTACAGAAGGATAAGACATATGTCATTATGCTCTGGAAGCCTATAATTTTAAAACTTTTTTAAGGAAAAGGAAAATTTTTGTTTCACCTGAAAAAGTTGTTTTGAATGTTATTAATAATTCTGCTATTTATAGTGAAAGTGTTAGAGAGTAAGAGATTTATTGAAGAGTCCCCAAAAATGAAATGGTAAGTGGACAAGGTCCAAAAAAGTAACAAAAAAGCCCCTCTTCTCTAAACCTCAATATGGGAAAAACTTGAATCTATTCTAGGAGAGATGTGAAGAACATTCATAACACTTATGGAAAGCATAGGTTTTTTCTTTTTCTTTTTCTTTTGTTTTTTTTGCTAACATATTTCCAAAACAAACTCAGAGTTTAGCTAAATATTTGCTTGTTTCTAGGAACTCTCAGAAAATGAAGTGCTTGGATCGTATTTCTCAGTGAAGTCTTTCTGGTGGAGGGTAATGTTTCAATATGTTATATTGCTACTCTTGATTTTTGCTTTGGGCTAAAAAATTTGACTGTTTCAACATAAACTAGCAAAGATGCTGTTTTCACATTCTTGGCCCTCATATTGAATGCTAAGTCATTTATGGCAAATAAATTTAGTGCCCCTTTTATTTCTTTATTCCTAAAGACTAAAAAAACTGTATTACTTCTAAAACTCATTGCTTTGAACTGAATTCTTTGAAGAAGGAATTTTGTCACAAATTCAGAACTGTTGGAGGATTTTGGCTCCTTCTTGTGACCTATTCCATCAGATCTGGTTTTATGTGAGATCTTTGGATAGTATTAATATGATCTGATATAGAAGGGCCATTAAGATTCCATCTTTCTCTTGTTCAGGAAATTGACTTTGGGTGCCTTGTTACTGCCATGATGTGGATATTTTACTTAAAATTTTGGAACTCAACCTTTTTGAAAATGTCTTTACTTATTTCATAGAAATTTTAAGCCATTTATGCATTATTTGAAACATTTTTGCATATTGCATGTTTATTTTTAAAAAAATCTCATTAAATTTAAAAAAAAAACCCTAAAGCCCTGCTTTGTATTTAAGGAAAGAAAAGTGATGTCCATGAATTTTTCGAAATAAGAGATTTCAGTTCAACACTACTTACTTTTTCATGAGCCCCATCATCCAACTCTCTCTGCTATAATTCTGCATTTTGCTCTGTGCTGATTACTAATTTCCTCCCTCTGTGAGCTTTCTTCTTCCTTTGAAATTTACACATGGGACACCATTTCGTAGTCTTGGAAATCATGGTGGAAATGCTGATATTTTCTTGTTATTTTTTGCTCCTCAAAGAGCATTCAGCTCCTTTAAATCACTTATTCCCAAATTCTAAGAGGATTAGGCCCAACACAGTGTTTATACTATAGAATGCTAATGATCTGACAGAAGTGTGAGCTGGCTGGTGTAGAAGTAAAGGTCCCTCCTCCCCAGAAGTAAAGGAGACTAAGGTAGCTGTTCCCCTTCCTGGCTGAACTCTTCTTATTTAGACTTTCAGTGACCATACATAACTTGAGGATTAGGACCTTATAATTTTTTTTTCATCATTTCGTTGAAAGCTTCTTGATAAGTGACCTCTGGTATTTAGTTATTCCGCTTCTTTTCTTGAAGTAAATGAAATGACCTGTTTGTTTATTCATTTTCCTAAATTGCCCAGAGAATTTCATCTGAGAATAATTTTAGATGTGGGCCCCCATCTTTTGAATTATTCAACATCCTTAACATTATTGAGGGGCTTTTATAAAATTGTCATTTTTACTGTATTTTGCTAGTTATTCAAAATGAGTAGTACTCTTGGCCACATTATCTAAGACAACTGACTAGAATATTTTTTTCCTTCTATTCCCCCACCTCTCTCATACACATACACACATATACATGCATGTGTGCGCACATACACACACACACACACACACACACACGATAGGTAGATAGACACATACAAACACATTATTTATGTGCAGAACCCAAAATGACTGGTAATTCTGTTTCATTTTACTAAAGACATGATACCAGATATTATTCCACTTCCACAAGTTGCTCTACGTGGTGGAGTTTTTTTCCCAGCCATTACCTATCGAATGCTAATTTTTCACCACTCCCTCTTTCAACTTTCACTATTTCTAATTGATTCTAATCATCCAATGCTTTCTATTGACACTCTTAACTGCCTGCTTCTTGTACCAAGCATGTAATTTGAAGGATCATTGAGGTTGAATATCTCTTTCTGAGCACCTGGTTTGGGTGTTGTTCAGAGATCATGAATGTGAGGCTTTGAAGAAACTTTAGAGATCGCTAGTCCAACTTTATTTTACAGATAAAGAAACTGAAGCACAGAGATGGCCAAGATCATGTAGCTATTTAGTGGTAGAGCAGGGATCGTAGATTTCGATTCGGAAGGGACTTGAAAGGCCAAGTGCAACCTTATCCGTTTATAAATGAGAAAACTGAGGCTGAGAGAGGTTAAATTATTTGCCCAGAGTCACACAACTAATGAGTGTCTGAAATAGCATTTGAACTCAAGACTTCCTGACTCCAAGTCCTGCACTCAGGCCACCGTGCAACCTAATTTCCTGAGGACTACAATCCACATTGTACTTTGCTCTAGATATTTTTAAAATATTTCAATGAGTAGGTAAGAAAGCAATCCATGCAAGACATTTTAAAGTCAATTATGAAATGTGGAAACTACACCTATATAGAGGTATGCTTTGTGGTTTCCCTGCTAAATGCTTCCCACATTTTGTGGCATTTATCTAATATCTCCTGAAGTCATCAATGTATGAATATGTCACAAGACGCACTAAAGTTCTCATATTCAGCATTTTGATTTCCTAATTCAGAAAATTAGTAGTTCAAGACACTTCTTTAAAAATGGTAGGTATGGAGCATGTATATACATGGTCAGGCATCAATCTGATCGTTAATACTCCTTCTCTTTAACCGAGTGACACCTTGGTCCTTTCTTTTTTGTTTTCCTACAAAAATATAGAAAACAATATGGAAGTGTTCAAGAGGCCAAAAGTCTTAAATATTGCAGGCAATCTTAAATGAAGAATGTGCTTTCTCAGATGAAGAGCATAAAATACCTAGAATAAAAGTACTTAGAATAAAAACTGAAATATATTTAACTGAGGAATGAGTCAGGTTTAGAGTGTTCATCAGTTGATTTAAGAAAATCCTAAATCCTGGAGAAATGTTTTTCAATTAGCCTGTCAGGGAGATAACTTTTTTCCCCGTAAACCCTAACATCTTAAAACCAATACATGTTTGACAAGCAGTTTTACAGTGTTATATTTTTAAAATAGAACCCCCAAAAACAAAGAACTGATGTAGGGTTATGATGGATCTACAAGGCTTGTAATTTTGGGGAGGGGAGTTAAAATAAAGTGAGACTCAAGTTAAAGTCTTAGGTCAATCTGAGCCTCACCAAGGGGTTGTGATTTTCCAGATAGTTTTTAATAATGATTTTTGTCAATCACTCATCATCCTAAACTATCTGTCCCAAATGCTTTTAAGTCATAATGCGAACTAAAGACTAATTTAAAAAAAAAAAACCAGTTTACATATAACATTGTGAGAAATAAACAGGACACATTGACCAAGAAAAAGACCATTACAGGTAATTAAGCAATTCAATATTTGGTTCATAGAAGTATTAAATGTATTTGTGGGAGAGATAAGCAGACTATGAGATGATAGTATTTCCTTTTTACAGTTACTAAAACTGAGACTTATTTTTAAAAATTTTGTACATTATAGAAGTAGTTGATAATAAAATGTACAAATACTATGGTCCCCTTTCAGACCTCAGACAAAACATTTTGTATCTTGCTAATATACTTACACATTATTTTAATTTTTAGTTAATCTGCATGTGGCATGTCCTCTACTAGACTTAAAGCTCCCAGAAGACCAGACTTTATCTAAAGTTTGTTTCCTCTGCAAACGCCTGGCAGTTTTCTGATACAACAGACATTTAGTAAATTTTTGTTAAATTGGACAGAAATTAATTTTAGCAAAGAAAATTTCAGGATACAAATAAGGGAAATATCTCCGTTGAGGATCACTATATTTGCGAATAGTCTTCCAAGGAAAATAAAAGATCAAAGATTTTTAATAAGACTATAGTTCTAAAACTAAATGGGGCAAAGTACTAAAGGGTTTATTGTAAATGGCTGTCCTGCATTGAAAGATGGATGAACTGCAAATCCACTTGTTGGAGCATATCATCTGGGTGCAATTCACTGGAATGAGCTTAGTAGGGAAAGAAAAAGATAGAAAGCTTCTGTGACTGGGACTAAGCTGATAATTGCACCATGCTTTGATAAGTATGGGTGTTCATAGTACAAAACAGTCACACTAAAGCTGTCATTATCTCTTCTTTGTAAAGTGTCTCATGGGTCATTTGATTAAATAAAGGCACATGTACCCCTGTGCTGAAAATAGAGGGAAAATGGACTCTAACAGGCGTATTTCCTCATTGTAAACACACAAGCAATATCTTTCCCACCAGTTTTATAATGTCTAGGTGATTATATAGAAGGGCTAGACAGACATAAGAATGAATCAAAAGTAACAAAAGCAAAGGATTATTAGGAAATAAAGATTTTGTAGGAAGAATATCCCTGACTTTCCCTCTTGCCATATAATAAACCTAAATAGTTTGGTTTATTTTCTTGACCTAGAACCAGGAAACAATAGGTCTATTTGGTTAGGAGTCACAATATATTTTATTATTAATAATAATAATATACCTGCAGATTAAGAGGCAGCATTGGAGGGGGCTTGATAGAATGATGGACCTACAGTCAGGATGAACTGGGCTCAAATCCCATGTGTAACTCTTATTAATCCTGGGACCATGGGGAAGTGCCTACTGTGTGCTAGACACTGTGCTAAGCATTTAACAAATATTTCATTCAATCCCATTTTTCCTCACAGTAACCCTAAGGGAGGCACTATTATTATCCTCATTCTACAGTGGGTAACTATTATTATCCTCATCCTGCAAAGCAGGATGCAAACCGATGCAAACAAGTTGAGTTTGAACTCAGGTTTTCTTGATTCCAGGCCAATGCTCTGGGCACTGTGGCACCACCTAGCTGTCTCATGGGCGTGCCGCAGAACCTCTCTGAGCCTCAGACAACTCTCTAAGATTTGGTGTAGTGGTCTTACTTGGTAGAAGTGCCTATACCAATTAAATCACAGATTTGTGAATATATTGATATTTTACTAGGTTGTTAATAACCCAGAATCTAAAATTACTCTACCCTGCAAATGTATAAGAATGTGTCAAGCTCTGGAAATGTGTGCTAAGAAAGCAGTTCTCAGTTCACTTCTTACCTGTGTCATGTGCCTTTGTCTGGCCTAATCGACTGACCAGCCAATGACCAAACATTTTGTTGTTCTTCTTCATCCTGACTCTTCATGACCCCATTTGGGGTTTTCTTGGCAAAGATGCTGGAGGGGTTTGCCATTTCCTTCTCCAGCTCATTTTACAGATGAGGAAACTGAGGCAAACAGGGTTTGCCCAGGGTCTTACAACTAGTAAGTCTTCCTGACCCCAGGCCTGTTGCTCTATCCACTGTGCCCTCTAGCTGCCCCAAGCATTAACCATGTTCCAGATACTGTACTAGGGCCCAGTAATACTACAAAGGAAATAAATAAAACAGAGTCCTTTACCTTATCTTACCCTCTCAAAGGGGAAATAACATGTATGCAAATGAGTACATATAAAACACATTCAAAAGCATTACAAAACATATTCATCCACATCTCTACCATTTAATTCCTCTCATGACCCTGGGCAAGTCACTTAATCCTGTTTACCTCAGTTTCCTCATCTGTAAAATGAGCTGGAGAAGGAAATGGAAAACCACTCCAGCATCTTTGCCAAGAAAACCCCAAGCGGGGTCATGAAGAGTTGGATAAGACTAAAATGACTGAACAACAGCATGATACCTAGAACTCCAGAGATGGCTTCTTGGAACAATGACAGCAATGTTGGAGATATTATTGCTTCGTCTATCTTCCAAAATAGCCTTGAAGGTGATTTTGGTCCAGTTTATTTCTCACTATCCATATCACTAAATTTTATGACCCCACCTGCATCTTTCTTTTTAGGAGATTTCTGTTTCCTGATTCTAAATGTCTGCTAATATCATCTTCTAAGTGCCCTATTTGATCACACTGGGCAATTAAATCACTCCCTGTGCAATATCCTTTGCTCCTCACTATCTTGCTTGCTTGGGTCCACTATAAGTCTCTGATATATTACTCTTACACCAGATATTTTGCTGGTTTCATCTGAGGTCAGGGGCACTATTTTTGTTCTTGTTATTTTGCTTATGTTTCTTTAAGTCAAGTATATTTACCCTCAGCCTGTTTCTATTTGGAATGTACTGTTTATATGATTGTGTAGTGTCCCTTCATGGCATAATCTAGTACCAAACAATTACAACCATCATGTTGGAGCCTTCCCCATTTTGTGTAGGTTTTCATTTATGTAATTTTACATAAGAAACAAAGTAGACTTTTAAAAAAATAATGTTGAAGACTAAATAAATTGTTCTCTACCCCATTTTACCTCCAAATCTCTTCTTGCCATTTTATTTTGTTACGTAATGAAACCTGAATTTTATTCCCTTGGCCACTGCATCGTTTATCTGCAAACATCACAAGGACTTGACTATCAATTATTCTTGTTTTAATACTTCAGGGATCTATTGTTTACTCAGGAAATATAGGAACTACCTCGTAGGGAATGGGGAACACTCTACTCATGCAGATTAGTCCCCCCTTCAAGTTAGCTAACTAATCACAGACTTCATCCAATAATAAGCCTCTCCAGACTTACCCAGATTGGTCGATTGGCAACAGTCCAGTTGGTAACAAGTGGACATACTGTACATTAGTGGAACTGTAACTGAAACCTAGACATCTTGGTAGGACGTCAGTAAGAGCTGACAAAGTCCTGTTATTACAATGGAAGGTTAGTATTCCAATTGCACTGAATCATCCTACCAAAGGAAAACAATAACCATCATGTATATACTTTGCATAAGGTATATGCTTATCTTTTCTGTACTATGAGAAATTTTCTGGTACCTTAGAAAGTAGTGCTACAGTGTTTTTGAAAATTGTTTTGTGAAGATGATTCAAACACTTATGAAGATTAAGGATGGATAGGCACACTGTTCACATCCTCATATAGTTCTGACCATTCATTTCAATCCAGACCTACAGAACCCCTGCTTTTCCAGCCTTGGGCTTCTCCAGAGCAGAGCTCCAGAATCCTTGTTGCCAAAATACACAAGTAAGTTGTACCGTTCCATTTCCCCTTTCTAAGCTTACATGAGCAACAAACTGACAGTAGAATGACCTTGCTAAAAATTCATCTCCTTGTCCATATTGTTTTTATAGCATGATGAAAGGCAATAATTTATTAACACTCATTTTAGTTGAACTAATTTACTTACCTGCTCTGAAATCCTGCCATTGGAAATTGCAAAAAGTGTCAATGCCTATTTCATCTGAATTTCTGAAACTATATTGTTACCTGGCATCGTGAATCAGTAAATCAGTGCAAGAATAAATGGCCTTTTTGGTAGTGATTAGTTTTTTGTTTTTTTTTTGCTTTGGAGATTTTGTTGTTTGTTTTTGTTTTTGAAGAGCAGAGAGGGAGAGATGGAATGAAGAGAAAGGAAGGGAAAGGAAGGAGTAAGTGGGGTTTGTGATCTGTATTTATTGAATAATGTCTTACATTTGCTTAATATTCTGGTAGGGACACTGTAGGTACTCAGTAAACAATTATTATTAATAATATTAAATCAGTATACTTTACTCAGGAGTAAAAATGTGTATTTTTACTTTGAGTGAGGTATTTGATTTTTTAATAGAATCACCACTTAGAAAATTTTTTAAAAATTGTTTTATTTCTCCATCTGCCAGAAGAATCCTATGTTACTCTCTTCAGATGTTCAAAATGTACAAGCCAACCCACTATCTCAATAACTATACTTAGAAATCGGTAATACTGTTTTTAGAAATATAAGCAATACATTGACTAAGGAGTGATTAATGTAATAATATTGCATTAGGTAACTTTAGTTAAATGGAGAAGAGGAGTGAACCACTGAGAAGGTAAAATGTATACCCATTAAGTTGTACCAAGGGTTAAGTACTTTCAGGTTAATTTCCAAAGAGGTTCAGGTGTTTGAATGCATGCGTTTGGCTATTCAGAGTGTTCTTATCCTTTACCTTTCTTGTCTGTTGTCACATATTCCTCTGTTGTTTGTAATCTACATTCCATTCATCATTGCTTTTGTATAATAGTTTTGCTTCAGGCTCACTAGTTCTTCCTAGCACTTAGACTATGTGTTCTCATGACTGCGAATATTTTGTAACAAAAGTAAAACTGCTCCACTGATGAATGCTGCTGTTGAAAGGCAGAATCCTTTTTAAAAAAAAGAAGCAAAGGGGTAAAGTTCTTTTTAATAGGGTAACATATCTCTGTATTACTGTTTTATCATTTAAAAAATTGTTTAGCCAGGGCACCATAGTTGTTAGTCCTTCATTGCTGAACTTTTTGCAGTGGGAAAATATTTCCCCCACACTGGATCCCATACTCCCCGCCCCTGCATCATCAGTGTTCACTTTATCTATTCCACTATCCAGCTCATTTTATAAAGGTCCCTGCCAGGTTGTAGAAAAGCATTTCATAACAATTAATGGCAGCACTAAAATGTCCATTAAGTTCATTTTATTTTCCCATGAGCATGTAGTATTCAGGGTGCCTCTTTTGGTCTGTAGGTTAAGTTCTTTGCCTCCTGTGACAAGTCAGAAATGTAGCCTTTCAAAAACTTAAATGTTTATTTATTACTTCCATAAATTTTTTGGGGGAAAATGTACCCTTGATTGGCAACAATTATCATTTTATATTTCATTTGGTGTCTTTATAGCTACTCTAACTTCCAAAGAAATAACAATTAGATATACCTAACAAAATGATTAAAATGTATAGATATAAACAGAAACATACAAAAACGATGTCATACATTAGTATTGTGGAAGGAGCTAGTAGTCGGAATCATTTCAAGGTATGGTAATACTTATACTATGGATTAATGTTGTCAGAAGAGAAGCAGGAATAACCTTAGCATGAGTACAAGAACATCTTTCAAAGCTATTCCAGAGCCCCTGTGGTAAACTGATGAACTTTACTCCTTATGCCCTCACTTAGAGCCCTGCTGACTTTTATGTAATGTAAAATTCTTAAGCTTCACTACATAGGTTTCCAATCTACAATAAATTAAAAACAATAAACCAGAAGGGAAAAGGAGAATGGAGTGATATTAGAAGCACTATGACAATAGCAGTGACAGAAACAATCTGACATTGCAGGAGGTGAAAAGAAAAACTAAAAAGCAGATATAGAATTCTGTTACCATATAGTGGCCTAATGGATCCTAAAATCAAAGAATTTCAGCATTGGAAGGAACCTAAAGCTCATCTAATCAAGTCTATTCAGTTCCCAAATGAAAAACCAAAGATCCCAACAAACGAAATGACTTTCTCCAGTCATTTACTCATACTGACACCCCAGGGGAAAAATCTGGTATTCCTTATGTAAGAAACCAGAAAGTCTAACCTACATTTTATAAAGAAATCTTTCCATCAGATATGGATAGAAAGTTAAATAGAGTATTTATTAAACATTTCTCTTGTGCTGAGCACTGTGTTAAGTATTGTGGATACAAATAAGAGATGATAGATAGAAAGATAGATAGATCATTTAAATTTTGACCCTCAAAGCAGCAAGTTTCAATTGTGTGGGAAACCTCATTTCCCAAAGATATTAGGTAAATAAGACATTATTGTCAGGTGAAAGAAATTGGGTCACAAGAGTTATATGAAGCAGGCTATGATTTTACAATTAAGGCAAAAGAAATTAGGTAAAATGCAGGTTAAACAACAATTTAGAAACACTTAGAATTTGAGATGAACCTTGGAATTCCTTTTGAAATGAATGCAAACAGCAAGAATTGTGAATGGGATTATAAAAAGAAACAATCATTTTGATAACATGTGCAGACAACTTCGATAAGACAATAAATTGCAGAGAAGGTACAAACTGGCATTGTTAGGAGAAATTCTAATTGAGAGCTCCCTACACTGATAAAACCTAGTCAAAAATGATTTTGTATGAAAGCCAAAGTAAGAAGTGTCAAGATTATAGGCTGAATTCTTAATTCATTCTGTATACTAAGTAAATCTCCCATTAGGTTACCTTTAATACTGATATAGATAGTGTTACTACCTTCTATGCAGTTCTGATTTCATTCAAGTTAAATATTATCATAATTTAGAAGTGAACATAACTGACAAAATTCAATAAAGAAAAAAATATTTAAACATCTAAAGGAGAAATAAAATCAGGAGCATACATTCATCGCATAAAGCATGCATTTATAGTTTTTAAAGTCTAATTTCTCTCTCCTGTGGGAAAGCAGGCTTTAGATCTAAGTGCCAATTGTTTGGTCGATTTTAGTCATTCTATCAAGGTCAACAGTAAACTGCAACTCCAAGCCTTTTGAACATCGTCCTCTTCAATGGATAGAATCTCAGCGGATCTCTCTATGTGCCAAGAGAGAGGTGGTAGTGGTATTTTGCTTCCAGAATCTTATTTAGTAATCCTACAAAGAAGAATGAGTTGTAACAATAAAGTCAAAACTTGAAAGAAAATAGATCATCTAAAGCAAAAGTTGGTAAGCTACAAATTGCCATAAATTACTTTCATAAATGACTTACAGGAGGTGATTATTGGTCATCAGCATTTGCAAATTCCAGATCTTTTTGAAGTTCCTACAACTCATGGGGATTTGAAGAGTTCAGACTCTTGATTGTCTTAGAAGTTAAATGTGCATTTTGATGACTTTTAATTCGTTAAACTCTTCATAAAGATCTTGAAAACTGCTACAGGGTTATGCTTAACATGTATGATACATATTTTCAAATCTTCAAACCACTTGAAAAATTTGATTCTCTCTTTTTCAGTAAGAGAATAAAAAAACGTATCAAATAAATTATTTGTTATATTTTAAAGTAACTCTCTTCTCCTTTACCCAAAGTTTCAGACCCAAAGTTTACGTCTCTCAGACCTGCACAGAAAATCCCACCTATGGAGAGGGATAGTCAGCATCACTTTGATAGAGGGACGAGATCTCAAGGCCATGGATTCAAATGGATTTAGTGACCCCTATGTGAAATTCCGGCTTGGTCATCAGAAGTACAAGAGCAAGGTACTTGGCCTTTGTTGTGTTTTTGTTCAGTGTTTGTAAGGGTTGGTTCCATTAATGACTATACTTGTAAAACTGAAGAAGCTAGTCTTTGATATATACAGCAGAACCCCTTGTGGGGCTTCTGTGAGAACAGAGAACTAACACATGCTGTGTTTTCCAAGACTTTTACTTTATGTAATTCCAAAGTTTCAGGGGCACAATGTGATGTACATTGTATCCAAATTGAAAGGCACTTGATGAAGTGGATAGAGAATCAAATTTGCCTTTTAGTTTTGCCTCTGACAAGACATCTGGCAAGACAAACCTCTGACACATACAGGTTGTATGCTACTGGTCAAGTCATTTAAATTCTTACCATCTCAAGCTATTCTCTAGGACTGTATGTTAGTCAAGTTGCTGACCTGCATCAGTGGGGGGAGTTTCTTACAGGGAGTTCTTTACACTGATGTAATCACAACACTGTCCTCCACCCACCCTACCCCCCCTAAAAAAAGCTCTGCTTTCTGCTGCTGGTGTTAACTAAAGATTTGGGGCAATTCGCCACATCCGTTTCAGGCTACTGACCACCTACCATCATGACTGAAATTCATTCCTTGTAGTGCCATTACACATGTCACTTGTTTTCACAAATGCCACTGCAAAGTGTTCATTAGCTTTAACCATGCTTGGGAATTTCATAGTGATGGTTCTTCAATGGTTAAATGAACCATAATTAGAACTTTAAAACATGATATCACTTTTATCTGTCCAATAGATGTTTATTGAGCACTTGCTGCAACGTGTTGGTCACTGTGGTCGATCTGGAATACTGCTCTATCAAACACAGTTCCTGCCCCCCAAGAAGTCTAGTTGGGGAAAACGAGGCATAAATACAGTAAAAGACTATAATACAAGGCAATATTAGCTCATGTTTTATTTTGTACTTTACAAAGTACTTTTCTCACAACAAACATGCAGCATTCAGTGTATATCATCGTTATGTTCATGTCCAAGATAAGGCAACTGGAGGTCAGATGTCAAGAAGTTTGTTCATGATTTTGCTAGGAAGTAGTGAAACAGAGATTCAAATCTGGGTTCAGACTACAAGTCTAATGTCTTTTTAACTGTCCCCAGCAGAGATACAGATAAAAAGTGCTTTCAGAGTTTATAAAAGGGAAAGTCATGTCTTATTTTTATGTTAAAAATTCATATTCACCCACACCCTTATTTTTGTTAATCTGGGTTGAATTTGATGACAGTGGATTTGTCTTAATTTAATGTACTTAGGGGACATTTGAATAACCTCATTACACACCCAGTTCTATGTGTTTGTCTCCCAGCCAGTGTTCAATGATGTACTAGAGGAAGTAAGAATTACACAAATATATGCCAGTAACACCAATTGCTTTTTATCTTTTACTTTGCCAGATAACTTTCCATTTCTGTGCCCCTTAACAGGCGCATCAAACTCAAGGCCCAGGAAGACTCTGAATGGGGCCTGAGACAAATTAAAATGTAGTTGGGAAATGTTTAACAAAGTGAAAAAGAATGCAGCACGACATAGATAATATTGATTTGTGGTTTTCTAAGTAAAGTTGTGGCTTACTTTGATACCACTGCTCTATAAGGTTTAAACCTTTATTATGTTTCTAATCTTTGGGCCTGAAGCATGAAATCTAGCACTGTATACTTGTCTCCTTTGTTTTTTCTCTCTCTAATTCTTTGGCTGATTAAATTTCGGTTATGAGCTTTTAAATTATGGCTCCTTTGGTTACACATATATATACTGTAGTTTGCCATTTTAAAACTCTTTGCTCCTAAAGATTTCTGTTCTGATACTAAGCTGGAAGATGACCTTGTACCTCTCTGCTTAAAGGAGAGAAATCCATCTAGGTCACTCTGTTGGCTGATGTGGCCAAGGGTCTTGTATCAGTTCACCTGGAGTTTCTAAAAACTGGAAATCATAGGATCACAGACTTCAATCTTTAAGAGACCTCCGAGGCCACCTAGTAGAATCCTCCCTTTTTACAGATAAAGAAATGAGACCCAGAAAGAGAAAGTCATTTGCCTATGGCTGCATAGTAAGTATCAGAGCCAGAATTAAAATCCAGGCTTTTTGACTCTAAATCTAGCTTTCTTCCCACTATTCCACACTGTCTCTTCTTCCCTGTATAACCTACATGAAAAATGTAGCGTTCAGGTAAAAAAAATATAAATTTATTGAATAACACTATGAAGATGGGCACTGTGAGAGTGATGTTTTAAATTCTGAATTAATCAGTTCTTTCTTATAAAACACAAAATAGATTCTCCCATCCTTTTCTTCTTTTTTCTTTCAGACTTCAGTTTAGGATATCAAGTTCTCTGACCATCTCTTTTTTCCCCTATTCTATCTTCTCCTTGCCTTTTCACAAACAAGTCTTCTCAATTCTTCTCTTTTTTTCATCTGGCCAAAATGAGGGTGTTTCTTCTTTTCTTCTTCACTCTGGCCATAATTCCGTTTTAAAAACATACTATTTATGGGGCAGCTAGGTGTCACAGTAGATAGAACACTGGTCCTGAAGTCAGGACAACCTGAGTTCAAATCCGGGCTCAGACACATAACACTTACTAGCTGTTGACTCTGGGCAAGTCACTTAACCCCAGTTGCCTTGCCAAAACAAACAAACAAACAAAGATGCTATTTTCCCTATTCAAGAATTCATTGTACACAAGTTGCATTTTAAAAGCAGCCCTCATTGATTTGGCATTGTTGCTAATATTTTTTAAAAATATGTTTTATTTTTAATTTATGGAATAAAACAAGCATTTCTACAACATAGTATAATTTTAAAAAGAAGATTGCACATGGAACTGCAAATCTATTATGTACTACATGCTATTACTTTTAAATATATAGTAGTTATCATGTAAATTTGTTTCTTTCTTTTATTTTCAACTATTTCTTCCCTTCTCCCCTCACCCTAGAGATGACCACCATTAGACACAATTGTGTGTGTGTATTATGTAAAACCATTGTACACATACTTCTAATTCTTAGTGATGATTAGAAAGTGATGATTTTTTAAAATTATTTAAGAGTCAGTCTTCTGGATTGCCAGCTATTTGAAAACCCTCTTGTCCTTCTTTTTGTACCCCTACAGCATCATACCTTTCCTATTTCATGCCTCCAAATGTGAAACATAAAAAATATTTTAAGCCTAATAGAATATAAAAATGAAAAGTTATCTGGTACTAAATATTTGTTCAGTTGATAGGAACTGAACATTAATATTCTCTAGAATTTCAATAACTTTTACTTAGACTCCTGAATTTTTGAGATAAAATTCAATGTCACAGATAAAGTTCGGGATAATACAACATAATGCAAAATATATTGCTTTATTCTAAAAAAGTAATTGTATTTCTTACCATCTCAACTCCTGCCCTCATGCTGGGGGAGTCCAGGTTACACATTGATAGTATCATAAGCATCTCAACTTCCAGTTCCTCAGTCCACTCAGTCATGACCTACTCCTCTACTCAAAGTTAGCTCAAATCCCCTCTTCCACAAGAGTCCTTTCCCCATCTCTTAACCCTTTGTTTTGATATCCTCCCTCTGACCTTTCCCTCCATTAATACTGAATATTCCTTCCATGTATACAGTGTTTGTATGTTGTCTCCCTCATTAGAATGTGAGCTCCTTTAAGGACCATATTTTTGCCTTTCTTGGTTTCCACAGCACCTATCATGGGTTCCTGGTGCATAGTAGGTCCTTCAGCGTTGTTGACTAACTGGATGGTTTAACTGTCAATGTTCTACCACTCCACAATAGCCTGATTTTAATAACTTTTTCTTATATAGACCTCTGTGGAGAGACCAGAGAGGTCTGTATAAGAAAAAGTTATTAAAATTATTATTATTAAATTATTATATAATTAAATTCATAATATAATATGTTTATAATTTATATAATATAAAATAAATTATTAAAATAAAGTAAAATTATTATTAAAATGGAGAGACCACCTTAGAATAAAGTACTTTTGATACTTCAATAAATAAACCTCCTTGTATGGTCTCCAACATGCATGATTCTTCAACTAAATTCCTCTCTGTAGCCTTTAATACCTATTAACTCTAGTGCTTTGAATACATTCAATAAATATTTGTTGATCTGGTTTCATTTAAAATGTGTTAGAATTTTTGTTGTTTTGTCATTTTTAAATCATGTCCAACTCTTTTTGTCTCCCTTTGGGATTTTCTTGGCAGAGATACTAAAGTGGTTTGCCATTTCCTTCTTCAGCTCATTTTACAGATGAGGAAACTGAGGCAAACAGAGTTGAGTGGCTTGCCCAGGGTCACAGAGTTAGTAAGTGTCTGAGGCCAGATTTGAACTCAGGAAGATGAATCTACCTAACTCAAGGCCTGGCATTCTATCCACTGTGCCACCTAGCTGCTCCGTGTTAGAATTGAATTGCCTTATAATTGCAATAAACCTCAAAAATTAGCAGAAAATTTGTTCTTTGTAACTTTAATAGACACATAGAGAATGGTCTTTTGCTAAAAGGAGGAACTTACTACCCCTGTGAGCCTCTGCCAAAACCTAATATAAAGTCATCATAGCAGCTGTCCAGTTTCTGTATTGTTCAGCCCAGTGTTCCAAACAGGGGATAGCCAGGGGACAGAAGCAAAAATTTCTGGAAACTCTAATTTTCCTCTTTGTAACATGGTAACTCCTCTCATTGACTGTTATTATAAAGAATCACTGATATTATCTAACTGAGGTTTTCAGTCTGTTTTCCTTCCCAAATTAGGAATATTTCAGTCTGACTCTCACATGGTTATCTAGCATTGTCTCCTGTCCAACACTCAGGATGGCTGAAGGTGAAATTCCTCCTTCAAGAGAAACATGGTTTGTTTTTCAAGACAAACCATCATTCAGGTTCTCCTTTTTGGTGGGAACACTAAGCATGGTGAATGTGCCCTATTATCCATGATTCCTGGAATTTTTTAAAATAAAGCCTCTGACAAGTTAATATGATTTCCTGGTAGTACCTAAAATTTAATTTTGTGTCACAAGCAAGAAGAGCTTCCATTATAGAGTGATAATTACTTTCTTTTTCCTTTTTTCCAGATTATGCCAAAAACACTGAATCCTCAATGGAGGGAACAGTTTGACTTTCATCTTTATGAAGAGCGAGGAGGAATTATTGATATTACTGCTTGGGACAAAGATGCTGGGAAGAGGGATGATTTTATTGGCAGGTTTGTACTAGTCAGTCCTTTTATTTTACTCTGGAGGGAAGTAGATTATTAAAAAATGGTCTTTGTTTTAAATTTAATTCTCATAACCAACCCTTATCATTATGAAAGAAATGGGTGACTTTACCAGAGGACACATAGCTTTTGTTATTTATTTCACACTGCAGAGGACTGAAAGGCAGATCTCAGTATTGACCAGTAGGTGGCAGTTTTGACCAGTTGATGGACAGAAACTATCTTAAGTGGAATATGTCTGTGTAAAAAGAATCCAGACAAGTGGTTTTTCTCTATAGCAGAGATCTCTTGTTTGGAAGCATCGGAAATAGGGATAAGGGAGTCTTTTGAACTTTTTTTTAAGTGTCTCTTTGCAGCAAGAAAACTTTTCATAAAACATTTTGTTATGACCATAAAATGCTGCTTTTGTGAGGTACAACAAAGAATGGAATCTTTAGAATCTCTTTAGAGATTGGTGAAATTGTGAAGAGTCACAGTGTCTTCAGTATATGAAGAATGATAATTAAGAAAATATGTGTTAATTTAATCATAGAATGGGGCAAGTTAAAGACTGAGATCCATATGATGCAAATATATAGATCTTAATTTATATTGAACAGCTGGTTACATAGGATCATGAGATATAAAGCTGTAAGGCATTTTATATATCATCTAGTTCAAGCCTCCTGATTTTATAGACAAGGAAACTGAGACCCAAAGAGATCAAGAAATGTGCTGCCCCCTTAAAGCCTTTATTATCTTCTATTGTATTAGCTTCCTAAATAGTCTACCTGCTTCTAGTTTCTCCTTGCTCCAATTCTTCTTCCACATAGCTGTCAAAATAATTTTCCTAATGTACGTATGGGTTAGACTGTGCTACTCCCTCATTCAGGAATCTTCAATGACACTCTAGTGCATTTAGGATAAAACACAGTCTCCTCACCCAGCAACTTAAACCTTCCACAATCTGATTCCAACCCAGTTCTACAGATGTATTTCTTATTATTCCTATTCATGCACCCAAATTCCAGCCAAATTGTCCTACCTACTGTATCTCAAGCTTAACTGTCCACATGGCATTTCTATGTCTGCTCATAGTCCCAATCCCACCCCGCCCCCAATTATTCCCACTGTTTTCTCATGACTACTTCCTAACATCCTTAAGTTCCTTTGAGAGTCAGCTCAAGTGATCAAGCTTCAGATCTAAAGAACAAGTTATTCTGGGAGAAGCTAGCTATGAGAAGCATGTGTACAAAGGCCAAAACCATAAGAAGAGGTGACTTCCTGAAGCATGGAAGCAGCATCCATGAGAAACTGAGCAGCTTCTAATAGGGCCAGAGCATTCAGATCTCTTGAAGAAGGGTGAGGGTGTAGAATAGGCTTTCTCCCACCATGGCCAGGGAGGAAATGGTCCCTGAGACCTCAGTGATAAGAGAAGGGGTATGCAGGTAAAAATATTTAACAGCTGGGAGAATGTACATATAACACACTTGTAAAATTAATCTGCATTATTAATGTTTTGTCCACCTCTTTCTTTAGTCTAGACAATCAACAAAACAATGTGTCATGCCCTAATTTATAGCATTTGTCTCTTTCCAAGGTTTAAATACTCAGACCAAAAATTGTCTCCAGTTCAGAATGGCTCCAGCACACCCCTGTATTGGAATATGTATGAGAAAAGTCCCAGGTTAGGTCCCATATTGAGAACTGGAAAGGCAGATTCAGAGGACTATGAATGAATAACATCAAATTGGAACTAGAATGAAATTAATATTAAGAACCAAACTAAGGGAAAGACAAGAGAAAACAAATGTTCTAAGGACTTTTATATAAGACTGAGAACTGTCCTCCTTTCCATCAGTTAGTATATCTACCCTCAATTGTATTACCCTTAGGGTAATAATAATAATAGCTAACATTTGCATATCTCTGTAATGTTCGTGAAGTCCTTCGCCTATATTATCTTATTTGATCTACACAACAACCCTGGGAGAGAAGAATGTTATTATCCCCATTTTACAGATGAGGAAACTGAGGATAAGAGTGGTTAAGTGACATTCATGTTCACAAAGCTAGTAACTGTCAGAGGCGGGATTCAAATAGAGGTCTTCCTAATTCCAAGTCCAACATTCTATTCACGGTAGCACCTAGCTGTTGCACTTCCTATTATGCTCCCTTTTAAATATCTTAAAGAGTTGGTGGTGTTCGTAAGGAGAAGGATCTATGAGAGGAAAGATATCCCTAGGATCTGCTGCTTATAGTGGGTCTGGTGTATAGAGAATCCTCAAAAAGCTAGTAGCATGAATAGCACCTTGAAACCTGAAGGGGGCAGCTGTCAACTGAAACCTGGGCCTGCTGGTAATAATAATAATAATAATAGCCTGTTGATGTATCATTATTGGTTTGCAAAACATTGTCTCACAAGTCTCTGATATAAGGAATTCCTGTAGCATTATTGTCATCAAAAATGGGCTGGGGGTAGGGAAGGGGAAGTTATAGGATTTAAGAGGCAACACCAACCTGGATTTCCTTCCCACTGAGATCATAGTAGAAGCTGAAGCTACTACTGAAAAGATTTCAGTGCAATATCAAGAACTGTCCAGTTCTAGAACTAGTTGAAAAAAAAATAAGAGAGGGTCAGAGCCAAGATGGAAGAGTAGGGGCAGCGACCCAGCCAAATTCTGCCAACATTCCTCTCTAGACAACTTTAAAATAACACCTCAAATTGAATTCTGGAAAAACAGAGCCAACAAAAAGTCAGAGTGAGACATTTTTCCAGCCAAGTCAACTTGGGAAGTTGGCAGAAGAGGTCTGTGACACCAAGACGGGGTCCAGGCAGGGCCCAGTCAGCAGAAGCACCATTATGGGCCTTGGAGGTAGTGTCTTTGACAGTGGCAGCTGAAGCTTCAGAAGCTCTCGGCCTAGAAACAGTAAGGGTATCAAACAACTGATCAGAAAGAGATCACAGGGGACTCTGAGTTGATACTGGGTACAGGACTGGGTGCTTTTTGGAAATTCTATTGCGCATATGCAGTTCTGAGTCACAGTTCCAGGGCCAACAGGAGCACAATTACTTGCTGCAGAGGAGCCCTGCCTGGCTAAAGACTAGAACACAAACCACGAAAGCAGTGACCATAGCTCTCCCTAGATCATACTACCTTGGAAGAACTGAAAGCTTGAAGACCCCTTAATCTCCAGAACTAGCTCTGAAATAGCAGCACAAAAAAGCCAGAAAATTGGGACAGTGCTTCCCTACCCCCAGTTGAGCAGGGCCGAACTGTAACATAAAGTTCAAAGTCAAGAAATGGACTAAAAAATGAGCAAAAAAAAAAAAAAAGAACCTGGACATAAAAATCTATGATAGTAGCAGGGAAGCTCAAGTCACAAATGCAGGAAGAGACAACAATGTGAAAAACAGTTACAAGCAAAGCCTCCAAGAAAAATGCAAACTGGACATAACCCTAATATAAATTCCTATAAGAGTTAAAGAAAGAAATAAGAGTGGTAGAGGAAAATTTAGGGAAAGAAATGAGAGTGATGCAAGAAAATTATGAAGGGAATTAACATATTGGTAAGAGGAACAAAAACATTTGAAGAAAATAACATGTCAAAAAACAGAATTGACCAAATGGTAAAAGATAGATAAAAATTCACTGAAGAAAAGAGCATCTTGAAAAGCAGAATTGGCCAAATGAAAAAAAGAGGTACAAAAGGTCTCTGGAGAAAATAATTCCTAAAAATTAGAATTTGGCAAGTGGAGGTTAATGACTGCATGAGACATCAAACAATAAAAGTCAATAAAATGAAAAAATAGAAGAAAATGTGAACTATCTCATCAGAAAGACAACTGACCTGGAAAACAGATCAAGAGGGAGATAATTTAAGAATTACTGGACTACACAAAAGCAATGATTTTTAAAAAGAGCCTAGGCATCATATTTCAAGAAATTATTAAGGAAAACTTCTCTAATATCTTAGATACAGAGGGTAAAATAAAAATGGAAAGAATCCACCAATCACTTCCTAAAAGAAATCTCAAAATGAAAACTCCAAAGAATATTATAGACAAATTTCAGCACTCCCAGGTGAAGGAGAAAATATTGCAAGCTTACCCATAAAACTGTAGCATATAACAGAATAGATTAGGAAAAAAATCCAACAATATATTGTTTACCAGAGACACATTTGAAACAGAAAGATACACAGAGATAAAATAAGGGGCTGGAACAGAATCTCTTATGCTTCAACTGATGTAAAAAAAGTATGGGAGGCAATCATGATCTCAGACAAAGCAAAAGCAAAAATAGACCTAATTAAAAGAGATAATCAGGAAAACTGCACTTTTCTAAAAGTCACCATAGACCATGAAGTAATATCAAAATTTGTTATAGCAAGTTTCTTTGATAAAGGATTCATTTCTCAAATATATAGAACTGAGCCACATTTATAAAAATAAAAGCCATTCCCCAGTTAATAAGGAAATTTTTATTGTTAAGGAAATTTTTTTGTTGTTAAGGAATAATTAAGGAAGTTATCAAAGAAAAATGATAATTTTCAGGAGAAATCAAAGTTATCAATAGTCACATGAAAAAATATTTTAAAATCACTACTAATTAGAGAAATTAAATTGAATTGAATTAACATTAAATTAAATTAAAACAACTCTGAGGTACCACCCCTCACCTATCAGATTGACTGACATGACAGAAAAGGAAAATGACAAGTGTTGGAGGGCGTGTGGAAAAATTGTGGCACTAATGCACTGCTGGTGGAGTTATGAATTAGTCTAGTCATTCTGAAGAACAATTTGGAACTATACCCAGTTGACTACATAATTGTGCAAACCCTTTGACCCAGCAATACCTTTACTAAGCGTATATCCTAAAGAAATCAAAGGAAATGGGAAAGGACCTATATGTACAAAAATAGTTATAGCAGTTTTTTCTGTGGTGTCAAAGAATTAGAAATTGAGGAGATGCATATCAGTTGCGGAATGGCTGAACAAGTTG